TAGATAGGCCTAAATAAAATGTTTTTTAATTGTGTACCAGTTTAACGTTGAATATTATTTACGATTTTAACTTTATACGCAAGTGCCAAAATACTATAAATATATTCTACGTTTTAGAAATAATCTTGTAGATAATAGTGAAAATTTCATAGTTACAAAAAAATCTACATTATGTACTATCTAAAGAAAAGTATTAATCATATAGTATGACTTGTAATATTTTTGGCAACCACTTCTATTAAATATAACAAAAAATCAATGTTTATTGTCTGCTGCTTATTCGAGTTCACTCTGTATGAGAATAGTTGCATATACCGGGTGCCCGAAAAATTATATGATGCATTGCAAACTTAAAACCACAAGACAGTAACAGTTGCGAACTTTGGTGTGTGATGAATGAAGAGCACCTGTATACAGTTTTATGCATAAATGTAATCACGTATAATGCTTATATGTGAACACTAAATAGGCCATTAACAAACATGGCGGCAGATGGCGCTATGTGAGTCTTGCGGCTACCACAGGTGAAATCGTCTATTTTAGGGCAAAGACAATATTGTGTATTGGAAAGATCCAGCAGTTCAGAATTATATCAAGACACTTTTAATAACCAGGGAGCGTGTTTCACAATAATGAAGGCACGATGGGTTAATGCCCTTGCTGGTATGGACGTCAGACCTTACTTCTCTGGGGTTATGTGAAGGACATCGTGTACAGGAAAGTTTCTCAACCACCGGTCCGTCACAACATCCTTGCCGGTTTATGGGATTTCACGAAAACAAACATATAAACGAACAGAAACTGATAGAATATTCATATGTAAATCGTACAGTACCAGTTTTTTGTTGTACTTGCATTTTAGTGGTCTACAGCAATTTAGGGAGGCAGCGAGATGGTCCCTGGTATCGAAAAGGTTAAAAAACGCTGGTCTACAGGACAAAGATGACTGATCTGAGGACACTAGGTGAACTTGTCACCTATGCAATAACAACTATGGCACCCGATATGCTTAACAACATGGATGGAAATCGAATATTGACTCGATAGCTTCAAGGCGATAAAAGAACCACGTGTAGAGATGGCAAATGATGTGTGGTCAAAAGACTGCATACATTCACCACAAACCGAAAGTTCATAACTATTGGAGTGTTGTCGTAGTTTGTGTTTGTAATATGTCACATAATTTTCGGACACCCTGTAGTCAATATTGTTGTGTAAAATAATGAATCTTACGGACTTCTACAGAGTATGTATTGCTTATGTAAAATAGTGAATCTTACGGACTTCTACAAAGTATGTATTGTTATGTAAAATAGTGAATCTTACGGACTTCTACAGAGTATGTATT